TGCAGAGTTACCAAGTTATATATATAAAAAAATTAACAAAAAACTTTCTGGGACTGTTATTCAGAATAATAAAGTTGTTGAAAAATGCAACATATTTAGTGAAGTTTTATTATTGATGAAATTTACTAAAACAAAAGCATTAGAACTCCAAATGCTTAAGACTTGTTGCTCTTATCTTTTGTTGACCAACAATTGGACTGGTATTATTTATTTGCTTATTACTTTAAATATTATTTTTATGTTATTCGCTTAGAAAAAGAAATTATTTTAATGAATTTACTTTTAGACTCCAGCGGTTTTATTAATAAACGTTTGGTTGCCTTTATTATATTATAACTATTACTATTATTATTATTTATAAAAAATATAACTATTATAGGTTGCCGCTTGCATTCAGCAGTTGTGCTTACTTTACAAGAAAAATGCTTCACTTGCTTCTTCTGTGGAAGAGAAGTTAATAATTTATTTAAAAAAAGTTTTTCATCATCCTCAAAGTCAAGTGCAAACTGTAGTGAAGGATTTCCTATCGTCCTTTGTTAGTATTATTATTATTATTATTATTATTATTATTATTATTATTATTATTATTATTATTATTTTAAAAGCCTTTGAAAACCCCCAAACTTTGGAATGTATTTATTAAGTGGACGTTAAAATGGCGGCTTCATTCTTCTTCTGCCGTTGACCTATTATTTTACGTTTTTATGGCTTTTACTAAATTCGGTTACAGTTTAATTTTAAAGTTACTTAATAATTTCATAATATGGCATATATTTGACTAGAGCTGATTCCCATTTCCACAGCAAACGTTTTAGAACTTCTTCTCACTCATTCGCGCATTACCAAAGTTTTACTAATAGCTCCTCCAATCATTGAAACTCCCCATACGGAAATTTACGAATCAGAAGAACTAAAATTTTCAGTTATTTGTTTGATTTACGCGCTTTTATTATGTGACTCTCGCGCTGGTCACAAAAGTTTTATACCACTTTTACTAGCCGGTTAACAGTTTATTTCTTTTTTACAATATTTTTTGACCTTTTTTATTTTTTTTTATGAGTAATATAATTATGTTTTACCGAAGAATAGCGCATTCGTTTATTATTACTTACCATGCATTATTTTATAATGAAATAATGATAACTAAACACAAGTTAAAGTCCACAAAATCTCAGTGCTGCTTGCTTTCTCGTTTCTTATTGGTCTACTTTTACCAACAGTTTAAAGAAGCACATAACGTGTGCGTTACTAAATTTCTTGTGTTTATATAGTGCTAAATGTCCTTCAATAATAGTACCATAACGCTTCCGAAGACCAATTTGTTTTTCGCATGATAGAATTCTTTTTGTGCGGTAGAGCGCAAAAATTTTATAAATTTTATAATTTTTTTTTAACTTTTAAAAAATTATTTTCTATTGGAAGCCTCTTAAGTTTGGGTGTACTTGATATACTTATAAACTATTAAAAGAGTGGAAACACTTGCTTATTTGTGTTCATCAAGTTGTCTTTATTTATGAAGATTAGATTTTAACGCTTTAACAATAATAATAATGAACAACCACTAAATATTAATATATAACAGTAAATAATTTATTCGTAACAATAATAGTAAGGAACCGCTAATATAAATCGTTGGTATTACTCGTAATAACAATTACAACGTACTAAAAAAATTATATAAGAAATTATATTACATTAAAAATAATGAAGAACTATTAGTCAAATTTATTTATACAATAACAATGATAATAAGAATAATAGTAGTTATTTATATACGGATGCAATAATAATAATAATAACTACTTAAAAATAATTTATATCAATAAATAATAATAATAGCCATAATAATTATTGAAAATGACCGTCTTAATAATAATAAAAATAGTAAACTACTAGAGAAATTTATACATAACAATCAACTATAATTTTAACAAAAAAAATAATAAATAATGTAATTGGGTTAAAAAATAAAGCCATTAATGATTGGCGGTGTATTTTCATTATATATGATTGGGTTGCATGTAATAAGCAATTCATTTTAATATCTACATTACAGAATTAATAATTATTGTATATACATGTTATTTAATGAAGTACATTAGATATACTTTTTTTATATATAAAATTTAATATATTAATTATTTTGTTATTTATATATTTTTATAATTATAAAAATATTTTTTCAAACTTTTTATTATTATTATTTAATATAATAATCCATTGTGTATAGCATATGAAGCCACGCTTTCTCAAACTGATCAACTTTTGCTTCAAGTACTAAATTTTTTTATTAATGTTAACTTCTTTTAAAAAAATGATTTTTTGGCCATAAAAAAAGTATTAAACTATTTTATTGAACAGCATTTTATTTCTATATTTTTATTAGAATTAAAAAAAGGTAAGAATATCATTTATTAAAACTTTCTTTTTGTATTATAATTAATATTTCCAAGCAATCAACTTGTTATTTATAGTAAAAAAATAAAATTATATATAAATTTTTTATTAGTTTGTATTTAATTTTTTATTTATTTATACTTTAGATTTTTTACTTGTTAGAAAAACGAGGCCTTTTCATTAAAAAAGACGCTTTCGTTTGGGGAAGTAAATCACTTTTGTTAAGCAAAAACTTTATTAGTAAAGGTGAGTTGCTTAATAATAAAGAATATTAAAAATAATAATAAACGTGATAAATATAAATTAATAATAATTTTTATCAGTAAATGTGTGTTGTATTAATAATACATACAGTTATAATAATAAAAAACAACAAAAAATCCTTTAATAAAAGGAAAACATAATTACTATAAATTTAATAATAATAATATTAATACAAATTATCTGCAGCATAATAATAAGAATATTATTTATTTTATATTAATGAAGGGGAGTTGTACCAATAATAATAAAAAATTATGATAATAATTATCAGTAATAAAATTTTAACAATAATAATCGATGAATTATATGCAACCTCATAAAATATAAATTTATTAATACTGAAGGCGAGTTGTTATAATAATAAATATAGTTATGATAACAATTAACTTGATAATTATAAATTTATAATAATACTTATCAATTAAAGTGAGTTTTATTTATAACAAATTAAATTATATTAATAAACATAATAAATATACATTAAATAATAATTACTCTAATACAAATTATATGCAACATTATAAAAATATATTATTGTTTATTAATGAAAGTTGGGTTGTGATAATAATATATAACATCATAATAATAAAGATGATAAACATAAACTAAGAATCATAATAGTAACATTATATTATAGTAAATATAATAACGATTAAACAATGAAATATTATTTATTATAGTTATAATATTATATTTGTAATTATTACGTCATAATTTTTTCTGAAATATTAATATATAAAATATAATTATTTGCTATTTTCGCATATATCGTACTTAAACTTTTTATTAGCTTTTATTTATTTGCTATTATTGATAACAATTACTGAAGTATAATATTATAACTTCTTTTTGGTTGGTACTTATTTTTTTTATTTTTTTCTATAAAGTTTAATTTTCTTTCCTTGATTGAAGTTTTCATGCTCGCTATAATTTATTATGAAATAATTTAATGAATTTTTTCAAATCAGAAAAAATTTATACTAATTTATGTGAAATTCAATAATAAAAACTATGAACAACTTTTCTACTAAACTTTTTTAAACTTCCACGTTACTCCTTGAAACTTTCTCCCTTAATATTATTAAAGAACTTCGATTATCATATTTTTTATGGTCATGTTTTTGGTGGATTAGGAGACTTATCCAATAGTCTATAATAGAGCCGCACCAGTTAATTATCTTCTGCCCCTTTAAGATGGGCGTCTACTTTCTGGGCGCGGTGAAAAGTTTTATTACGCTCATTAATATTTTTGTTTTTTTTTAACTTTCTAAGAAGTTTATGAAATTAATAAATTAAATTTTTTATAGGTACAAATAAAATACTATTTCGCACCTTATACTTAATATTACAAGAATTTTTTTTGACATCTTTTATTAATTTGAGCCCCTTTACAACTATTTTCCTCTTTATATTTAAAACTGCTCCCTTTTTTTCTAAAAAAGGAACTAATGCAACTTACTTATTGCATGAAAATCCTTCCAATTATTTATAAATACTACAAAAAATAATGACTAGCTTTTTTAATAAAAATATGTACACTAAATATTAAGTTTTTTATGAATCTTTTTTATATTTATATTTATATATAATTTTTTTATTTATGAATTCATCAATAAACTTACTAATTTTTAATTTAATACTTTATTACACTTTATTTTTTTTTATTTTATCTTTATAATGTTTTTTATAATATTTTATCTATTAATTTTTTATTAAAATATTTATAATATTAATATGCAGAATAATACTCTTTTCTTCTCTTTTTTGGAATATGTTTTTATTGCTTTAACTTAGATATACATTATTTTTTAAACTTTATTTAGTGTAATTATTTATATAGTTATTTGTATATATAAAATTTATAATAAATTTAGCATTCATAATAATTTCTATTTGTATGTCATTATTTATTAAATATATATACAACTTTTAAGAAAGTTGATCATATTATATTACTTTTTGTTACTCAGAAGTCAGAAGTGATATTACTCTGGAGTGCATCAACCCCAAACTTCTTCAGCATTCACTACAGTTTTGCTCTACTCAACTTCTGCATCAGCCACTCGAACGGGAGCCTCTACAGAATTATATATTTATTAACTCGACGTATAAATATTTATTATACTTATTATTCATATATCTATTTTTAATCATATATAATTATAGTGTGTCTTTTTCTATCTATTATTATTTATTTAATAATTATTATTATATTATTTTTTTAATATTATTTATTACTATTTTTAATTATTTCTTCTCAATATTCATATATTCATTACTTTTTATAATAAACATCACTTTAGTTTTTATTTATTTATTATTTTTGATTATAGCTCCCCACAAGTATATGATGTGGCCTTCTTACTTCCCCTTTTTGCTTCATTATTTGCTGAATCCTCAACTATCGACTGCTGCGCTTTTATTAAAATCGGATTGATCTCCTTTTTGGTCCTTTTTAATTATACTTATTTCACTTGGATAAAATTCCGCTTGATTGGAATATAATGTTTTATTGAATTTTAGAGTTTTATTATTATTATTATTATTTGGAACTTTTTATATATTTTTTATTTACTGCTTGTCCTTTTTCATTATTTTTAAAATATTATTATTATATATATAACAAATACCTATTCTTAGCTTACATTTAAGCGTAATATTTATCTTGTAAAAAATAATAGTATAAGGTAAAAGTAATTTTTTACACAGAAATTATGAACGCAACTACTAGACTTTGTTGAGTCGGTAAAAACATTTTAATGCCTTTTACTTGTTTATTGGTTAACATTGTATGCAATTAATATTCTTTATAACCATATTCATTTTTTTATTGGATTACTTCTAATTTATTGTCATTGACATTTGCTACATTGTAAGTCTTTTTTTTTTCACTATTAATAATATTATGAAATTCATAATAAATAGTTCATATTTTGCATTTTATAATTTTATTGGCTGATTGTTGCATTTTTATATTAATATTATAAGTCTTTTCATAGCCCCTTTTATATTTTATATAAATATTTATTCTTTTCGACTTTTATAAAATAATTTATTATAATTATTATAAATAGTTGGCTTAATATTAATTTTCTTGGCCTTTTCTTTATTGTTATATGATTATTATAAATTTAGAGTTTCACTGTTCGATTATGCTAAATATTATAAGATTTCTTTATTTTCAACTTTAGATAAAACTATTGTCTTCTCTACACGTTGCCGTGCGTTCTGCGGCCAGTTACGCTCTAAATCTTTTTTACGGGTCACATGTACTTTGCACGAAATTCAAGGAGAAACCGCAGGTTTGGGCCAGTCATATTTGGATATATCACGTCCATTATTCATTAATGTTTTTATTTTTTCATTTGCTTTAATATTTCTAGGAAATAATTTTATTTAATATATTTTAAATTTATTTATTTATTTATTCCTGAAAAATTATTGAAGTTTTCATTCGTTATCATCATTTTTTTGTAGAATTTTATATTTTTTTTATTTTTAGTTAATTTCTCTTTTTTTAATGTAAGAAATTAATATGAAATGATTAATTTTTCTTATTCATTCGTTATCAATTTTTTTTATTTATAATTAATTTTATTCCTTTTTTATTAGAAAAAATAATATGAAATGATTAAATTATATTATTAATATTTAAAAATTTATTCTTCGTTATCTACTTTTTTTTGTAAAAATTTGAGTTTAATCAATTTTTATTGGTTTTGATTTATATTTAAACTATTTTATATGTTTTCATTCATTCATTCATAATAATATTTAATATTTAATAAATACATTTTATTTATAATAAATCTCTATTTGGTTATAAAAACTCTACAAGTTTATAATTAATAATAGTATTATTTCTAAGAATTTATTAAACTAAATATGATAATTTGATTCTTTCCATTCTTATATATTTTTGTTATTTATTTAATTCCCTAAAATACTTTTATGTTTTAAATAATTAAGATATTAAACAGTCTATTATTATAATATAATAAAAACAAAATATCCACTTATTATTACATTTGTTAGTAATATAATTTTTAGTTATTTATTGTTGGTTTATATTACTATTTTGTATGTATTAAAAAGTATAGTGATAATTTAATAAATAAAAAAAAGTCGTATTATATTTATCATTAATAATTTATTTACAATCATAGATATCTTTTAAATAATTATATAACTAATATATTATATTAAAAAAAAAATAAAAAAACTTATTAAGAAAATAAAAAAGTTTACAAATAAAATATTAAAAATTTATTTTCCATAAAACATTAAATATTTTTAAAAAAGCAAAACAAATAAATTCATTTGGCAAAGTATAACTTAATTACTTTATAAACAATGAAAAAAATAACATTTTTAATAATATAAAAGAGAAAAGATAATAAGTCATTACTTATAACTTTTAAATTTCGTTTGAGGTATTGTTTTTGATATAAAATTTTGATTAGAGATTATTAAACATTTTTTTTAAAAAAAATTGATTTTTCTTTAAACGAAAAGCAGTTATTGTTTATATGAATTTTTTTTTTATAAAAGTCTATAATATTATAGATATAAATATATTTTTGTTATTTATTATTTTTTCATTATTCTTATTTATTTATTTATTAACTAAGATAATAGTGATAATGTTATATAACAATATATTTATATTATTATATTTGTTAGAAGTATTATTGTTTTTTTTATAATGTATTATAATAAATGTGTTTTTTATTTCTTATATTTTTGTATACTTATTTTTTGTTAATACAATACTTTACGTTTTGGGTTAACAGAAAAAGTTAACAGAATAAATAGTAGTAATATATTATTAAAATAATAAACGAAATCGTATTATGATTACCATTATAAATTTATTGTTATATCCGCTAAAAGTATTATTTTTTTTAAGGTATATTAATATTTCTTTTTCTTATTATTTATTATATAATATTAATACTTTTACGTTTTGAATTAATAAAAAAAATTTAATGTATATAATTTAATATAATACTTATTAACTTTATCATTTATTTATTTATAATATTTTTTTGAAAATTTATTGTTAGCAATATTCTTTAATATGTTTATTTTATATTTGAAATGTTTTTTTTTTCAAAACAACCTTAATATAAACTTCAAATAAATAATAATAAAAAATTTAATAAAATAATTATGCGTAGGCTTATATCTTTCATTTTTTATAAAATTTGTAACATTAAGATTGATTTTCTAAATCTTTTATATTCTGAATTATACATTTTTTAATTTTTTTTATTTTTGTAAAACAAATATAAGGATAATATAAAAATAAAAAATACTCGAAAATAAGAAAATAAAATAAGAAATACATACGTAGTCTGATATTTTTATTTAAAAAAAGCTGCTTCTACTTTTACAAGTCTTGCGAGGATCGCTGGAGCCCACGTGCTCTCAAGTTTCTTCCATTGTAACTTCCTTTCTTTCCGAGTGCGTCAGCGTTATCCTCGAACCTTCCCATCCATTGTAATGGAAATCATTATTTTTTTTAAATAAATATTTATATATTATATATTTATTATACATATATTAAATATTTGTTATAAGTAGAGGATTTTAATATATATAATAAAATCTTTTCTTTCTAGATTTATGAAGTTTTTAAAGTATCTTCTTATTGGTACAAAAATTAACTTAAATGAAATTCCGCTCTTTCCGTCCTTTTTTTTCAGGTTCTTAAAAAAAAAATTTTTTTTGTGTAAAATTCTATGGATTAATATTTGTTTTATATAAATAATATTAAACGCAGCGGCTCGAAAGAGTACTTAATGGAAAAAGAAGTCATTCTTCATCTGCTTGGTTACTACTATTATTATTGTTATCACTATTATTAATTGTCTTCAGGGCATGGTATCAATACTTTTAGTGATTGGAGCCTTTGGAAAAAAAAGCACGTGGTAGAGCTTTTGCAAAGGTTTATATTTTTTTAAACGAAATATTTTAGATGGATAAGGAGTTTATTATTTCTTGTTTTTTAAGAAATTATCTTAAAAGAGCGCAAAAATACTGACTAATAGCTTATATTTAACTTTTGGGTTACATTAATGAGCAGTCTGTTTTTTTAAGCAAGTAATTTCAACTTTTTTATTTGTGGAGATCCCTCGATACTGTGTTATTTAACAGTGCTACCACTTCTATTATATTTATTAATGAAACCGCTTTTATTTTTTTAGTTCTACTTTATGTATATAGTTAATTTCTTTTTAATATTTAACTCTATATATATGTATAAACTTTTATTTATTTGAAGATAATATTCACAAAATTTATAACACAATAGTTTTAATGTACACTCTCATTATTTTTATTTTATAAGCTTCTACTTAACCGGAATGGCTGATGCCTATACTAGAAGTTTGGTGCTTTCCGCCTTTTTAGAAGCCTCCTCCATGGAATCTGTTGCTATTGGTTATTTTAAAACCATTTTAATTTCATTCGCTCTTTGAGATATTCGAGATTTTTTTTAACGTTGCTATTCAAGTAATGTGTTATATTAATTTAATTTATAATTCTTTTTATCTGCTTTTAAAGAATTATCAATTTATATTAAATATTTATTAATTTTATATTTATTATGAATTGTAGAAATGGTTAAACTGTATGGCTTCCTTCCTTGGTGCCTCTACATATTATCAACAATCTACATAAAAGTATGCATTATTATTATAACGATCATTAATACTATAAAGATCGGTAATAGCAGTATAAATATAGCCCGAATTTCCTAGTTTCTTATGTATCATCTAAACTGTTTTTTTATATAGCCACGCTTGTCATAAAAATTACAGCAAATATTGAAAATTAGCCAGTCAATAGTGGCAGTATTATCAGTTTATATAATATTTCGATACAGTCATTGCTGCATTTCATTAAATAATACTCTCCACTTTTTAGTTTTATATATTTTATTGCTGTCTTTTAATATATTATGAATTTTAAATAAATACTTACTTACTTTATTAATGCAAATTTCTATTGAATATAATAACTTAGAACCTTCAAAATTCCACGTTAAAACAATCAACCAATAAAATTGCACTGAAATTTGTTAGTTCTTCGCGTTTGGAGAGGGAGAGCACATGTTACGAGGAACACTGCATTCAGCTTCTTTTTAAACTTTTATCAAATATAACTGCGCCGTTTCAAAAAACTAAGGACCAATCAAAGGAAGTTTTTTTACACCTTCCGCTTCTCTGCCGGGACTTGGTCCTTCCACTAAAAAGCGAGGAGACTCACGTGGGCGATCTTATACTGAGCTGTCTGGCCAATGGCCTCTCTCGATGGTTGTCACGTGTTGACTGTGTAGTCATTCTTCAATATTATTACTCTGGGCTTCAAACTTACGAGAGCGAAGAGGAACAAAAGTGGGTCCTGTGCTTTAAAAAAGTTTTCCCCCTCGCCATTCGCCAACTTCAAGACAGTTTTATAGCAAACTCAAGGGAAAAGATTCGAAACCTTTTGTTAATGGCGATTCGTACTTGGTTAGAGCGACCGGATGAGGATCACTATCTGGAAGCTTATTGGGTGCTGTGGTGGCTTCTCCTCTTTAGAGGCTCATCAGAAGAAGTCGCCTTGGTGCTGTTTGTTATGCAGCAAACAATATTTTGTAAGAGTAATTGCCTCTCGGAACCGGAAAAACAGTTAGGTCGATTCTTATTGGCTCTCTACACGGACAACGCGTCTTCTTCCGTTGAAGACGTGAGCAATACGCTAATTCTTTCTCTCTTACAAGCAATATTTCATCTACAAATGAACGATAATCACTTAGTTAAGCGACCCCAAATTATTACCAGACTTGCTGACTATTTCATTAATAATGATGACTTTGTTCTGACTGGCCATGAACGACTAACCAGTAGTCTTTCGATTGTGTATATTAAAGAGTTCATACTGGGCGATACGAACTGTCCTCGTTTTGAGCAAACAAGAAGACTGTATCATGAAATTGTATAGATTGAATACTTTTCCTACTTTTTCATGTAATATAGCGTTGTTAAAAAGATCATCAAATAAACTACTTAGCTTTCCTTACTATGTTCCTTGTAATATTACTTTACAAAAACATTTTTTAAGTATTGTTCACCAAATCTTTACTTGGATCTCACGATTATTATTAAGCGTTGTTCAAAAGTGATAGTAACTGGAGAAAACATCTCTTACGTGCGAAAAACTACAAAAGCTTTTACACTTTTGTAGATAATCTCCATTTAACAACTATGCTTGGTATCAGAATGCCCTCGTAAGTGACTTAAAATAATTATAGGTAACTTAAGTTAACGAAACTCGAACTCTTTGTCTAGGAAATGTCTATCCATCCTTTATAATTAACTTGCTGAGAATATTAGTCCTCAGTGTACAATTAATTTTTTTTACAACTTTCGAGCATTTAAATATTCGGGATTGTTCTTATATTAATTAGAGTCAGCATAGTCTATGACGTGTGAAATAACCGCAGGCGAGTCATGCGGGTGTGACCCTAACCCTAACATCTTACTTCTACCACTAAGTTTCTCAGTATTCGAATGAAATTATAGGAAGAAAAATTTCTATAAGGGGGTTTGAGAAACAACTGCATACGCCTACACGCTGAAATCCAAGTATTTCTTGGTAAGTGTTCATATGTTGGTAAGTTTATTTTTTCAAATTGCCTATTATCTAAAGTCTAACATAAACAATAATTTATTACAAAAATTACTAAAGTATAACTAATTGTAGAAAAAAAATTAATACGTTTTCGTGGAATAATTCTTGAACACTAAAAAGTGATATTAAAAAATTCCTTAACTTTTAAAAACTTCAGCACCCCTATTATTTTCACCCAGCAGGAATAAATTAGTTTTTAAAATAATAATTTATAAGGAAAAAGTAGCATACAGTAAAGTTAGTAGTGAAAAAAGGTATTACTTTATCTTTTCTCACGGATAACTGCCCTAAACTCTGCTTATCATGGGACTTTCGTCGCCTAAGAATTAAAAACATTCGCAGAGTTTTATCACTTTAAAGTTCGGTTATTTTCAATCAGTGATAATTTTAATACTACAGTTTTTAAAGCGTTGGCTAGTATATAGGCAAAATATTCGACAACTCGTCACCTTTTCTAGACCTGTACCATTACTAAAGTGATATTCTAAAAACAAATAATACTATTAATCAAATTTATTGTACATTACAAATTGCTGAAGGACAAGCAATGTTTGCACTGCTTATAGCTTTTATGGAGCGCCAAGCAAACAATTTCCTGCATTCATAGTTTTTTGCGAATTGCGGTCAAAATGTAAATTTTCTAAGTTTCTTATTTCCCTTTTTAAGTGTTTATACAATAATTAAATTATTTTTTTTCTAGTGGAAAATAATATTAACAACTTTAACAGTTTAAAGGAATTTATTATAATAAATTTGGTAAAAATAATTCTTATTAATTTAATTTGACTATTTGTTAGGTTCAATTTTAAAAAAAATACTCTCGTTTAAGTTTTAACTTTCCATGAGTGACAAATCATTAAATAATAAAGCGCCAACTCAAAATCTTTTTGCATGGGATCGATTAAAAAAAACTGGTCAAGATTTACGAGGTGATATAACATAACTACTTATAGCGAAGATTTTTTAAAATTTTTTATGGAGGTACTTCTGAAATAAAGCGTATATCAAAGAAGGAACTTTTAAGGGTATTTTTTAAAAAACAAGTTATAGACATTTTTATTATTTTTTAATCAATAGCACAATAAACCTGAAGATTGCTGGATTGCAGTGAAAGGAATAATATATAATGTTACGAGCTTTATAGATTTTCATCCAGGAGGTAACGCCAATTTAGAACCTTCTTATACAGACTAAGCCTATAAATCGCACGAATAATACCGAATTGGGCTTTATTGACCTTAATTTTAAATAGAATTTCATATAATTTAATCTTTATAAATCACACTCAAAACACCAACTCGAGCTTAAATTATATATGTTTTGAAATAATCAAAATAATTTGTTTTAATTTATGTAAAGTTTACTAATTCTTCTACATGTAAGCCATAATTATCACACACTTAACCCCAACTTAAGTTTCTTTAAATTTTATTTTTTTTTAAATATTTAGGGACGTGAGATTGCTTATATATATAAATATCATATATTTATGTTTATTCTATAGGAGTTTCCTATTTATTAGAAAATGCTGGGCGGGATGCCACCGCTGAATTTGATCGATTTCATAGTTGGATTGATTCAACTGTTTTACTAGATGCTTGCATTGTTGGATTCCTTTAGCTATGCTTTCTTTTATTATTTTATCCATATTTTTAATAATAAAATATTTTTTACTTTCTATATTATGAAATTTTTTAAAAACTGCTGTTATAATGAGAATTTAAATTATTTTTTGATTTTTTTGGGTTAATTTAAGGTTAAGCGACAGTTTGTTGCTCCACATTTACAAGGAATCTTCTTCTCCTTATTTTTATAAAAAAATTAAAAATTATTTTTCATAATCGATAAAAGATGAATTATTTACTTCTAAAGGAAATTTATAGTCGTATGTTATTTCATCTCCAATTTGAATTTTTTTTTTGGAGTAAAAAATAATATGAGAAGAGTGCCGAGTGTTTATGATTTTCGCTGTACAATTAGGCTATTGTATATTATAAATAAATAAAAAGGGTGAAAATTTTAAACAAAAAAAGTAAAAAAAATTTGAAGAAAAATAAAAAATATTTACTAAATAATTTTTTGGTATATAATATAAAGATGATATAAACTTAATAAAAAGAATTGTCAACATTTCACGTCCTATAATATAGATTTAATTTATTATGGAAATTTTTAAATTCGTGGTAATTTATTTTAAAGGAGAAATAAATTTACTATGACTTTTAAAGTTTAATAAATAACTGAGATTTAGAAATTAAAAAAAAAATAGAAGCTTTTTAGTAAATATAAACAAAAAGTGTAAGTGTAATTTTTTTGGTCTTAACTTTTGCAGAGCTTTACCTTTAACCTTGAAATTTTCATAATTATAGATTAAAAGCAGTATGGTTTATAAAACTATAAATATTATAACTAGAATATAGTAAATATTATTAACAAACAAGATGCCAAGCATATACGCTAATGCACCACAAATTACAGTATTCTGTGAGATTTAAAGGAGTATCAAATATCCGTAAATATAAAATTAGCTCAAGTTTGCTTATATTCCCGCTCTTAAAAATAAATTTCTGACAATTTTTAATTATTAAAGCTTACAAGAAATCGCAGTTTAGCTGCTTATAAAAATTAAGAGTGTTTAAGAATAGAAAATATATCAAAAATCACGGTTTAGCTGCACGTAAAAAATTGTGTTTACAAGAATAGTTTTGATCTTAATAAAGTGATTTTTTAATTATAAAAAGTAAAACTATAATTGTAAATCATCAATGAAATAATTGTTACACGCAGAAATTGTTAGTAATATTCGTGATTCAGATTATTTGATTCTGTAAACTCTTTTAACTGGTACGAACACAAGTACTTATTTGGAAACTGTGCCTGATTTTATGTAGGGGAATATGAGGAAGACCTTTGTATATGTCCTTTAATGATCTGTTTCATTATAAAAAAATTGAAATATATAAGTGACTTTATTAAGAAAAATATGTGCAAGCCCCACGAAAAAAGAAAAATTTGGAGTAATATAATTATTCTATTAATAAAATTCTGTCCAAGACCACCGAGATCTACTATGTTAAAAAAAAATTGAATTGTATAAAAAAAAACTATTGAAAGAATGTTATTCCACAGAAATCTTCCAGAGTAAAAAAAAGAAAATTTGGATTACATAGAAAACATGAAAAAAATTTGTCCAACCCGCATTTTGCAAAACTTATATACATACATTCGTACCAGTTAAAGGTTTAAACAACTTTTTTTAAAAATATTAAAAAATATTTTATTAAATTTTATAATTTAAATACTTAATTTAACTAAAAAAAACGGCTTAGAGTTTTTTTAATAAACTTTTAACAAAGTGTGAGTAATCTCGCGAATTATTTTTTGAAAAACTGATTATTTGTTTAAAGAAAAAACGCTAAATCTTTTGTGATTTCTAATAAAGCATATTAAACTCTTTTAATGACTGCACACTGTAACATTATTTAGATCAAATATATTACAAGCAAAATTTTATAAATAACTTTTATTATAACTTTCTCTTTTTCTTACTAAACTAAACTTAACAGTTTTGACACAAATAATGAGAGAGAGTCTTTTTTAAGACTGGAGAATAAAAGAATTAATTTTAGCTCTAATACTTATAAAACTTAGTAATTTATTATGAAGATAACTTAAAAATTAATTACAAAAAGTTTACCGTGTGCTGCTTACTTGAACGGCCCCCCATTCTTAATATTTATATTGGGATTTAAATTTTTTTTATACTAATTGGAGAGTAAGCTCAGAATGTGTCACATGAAAGCAGTTTAAGAGCTAATTAGCCAAAAAAAAAAAAGATCAGATGTCGCAATTTTAATAAAACTTTGCAACACTCTAAAAAAAATTTATATTTTTTTAAGAGCGACCTTTATGGGCGGTCCTGCAAACCTGTGCGTATCTTTTTGTAGTTCTTATATATTTTTTTCTATTAAAGAAACAGCTGTCAATTTTGTAAAGTGAGTGATTTTATAAAGGAATTAAGTATTTTTGTTTAAGATTAGATTCGCTATGTCGCTTGAGAGCCGATTTTATAAAAGATTATTTACTTTTTCAAGATTTTACTTATTTGATTGATTTGTGACTTTTAATACTAAGTCTTCTTGTAAGTAGTCTTAAATAAAAAGTAAAATATAAACTTTATTAGTAATCACTTGTCAAAATTCTAATCTTTTGTAAAAGTTATATATTAATAAAAAATATAATATATAAATATTTGTTAAAATATATATAAAAATTTAAAGGCGTTCAATAAATATAAATTTAAATAAAATTTGTTTGATTAAGGTTTTAAAAATAAATTTGCAGTATAAAAATTTTTACTTTAAAATTATTACACTTTATTTGTTACAAATCAAACTTTACTTTTGTTCGCTATTAGAAAAGGAAATCATTTTTTTATGAAAGCAAAAAAAGTAGCTTTTAGTACTTTTATAATAAAAAAAATTTTTTTATATGATATGATAAAAATAATATTAACATTTTCTATATAAAAATTATAAAAATGTTCAAACGAATATTTTTTTAAAAAGTATTAAAAAGGTTATACATACAATCTAAAATACATGAAATGATACTTAAATTAAAATAACTTTAACCGAATTATTATTTACTTATAAAAGTTTTATGTATAAAGAAATGAGCATAATATTTTTTCCAATTTATAGTAATAAAAAATAAAATTTCTTTAATTTTTAATATAGATTAGATTTTATTATCCTCTTTTAAGTATTTTTTCTTAATTATAAATTATAATAAAAGAATTTTTTTTATTCACTAAAAAAAAAAAGAAATAAAAATTTATATAATTATAAAATTGTGAGCAAAAACAAATTTTTTCAAAAAAGTTATAAAACTTGAAATTTCGAACAAAAAATTTTTATTAAACATAAAATTATATATAAATTCACCAAAGAAGTTAATTTCTATTTTTATAATAAAATAAAAAAAATTATGGAACATTCTAATATAATAAATTAGTAGTTGAATAAAGTAAAAACAAAAAGAAAAAATAATAAAATGCAAAACGAAGACTATTTTTTAGTATAAACAATATTTCATATAAATATATATTAAATTTTATAAGAATTTTACTTTTTATATAATAAAAATATATATAAAAATAATTATTAGGAAATAAAATATTATCTCGTATATTTTCATAAAAAGTTTTATATTATAAAAAAAATAGAAAATAAAAATTTTAACATAAAATATTTATTCAGTAAAATAGTTCAATAAAAAAATATATAAAAAGTTAATAATTAATAAAAAGTACATAATTTATTTTATTTATTATCAATTTTAATCCTGAAGAGTTTTTGCTTTAAAAATTATTATAACAAATCTTTCAAATTAATATATTTAATAAAAATTAAAAAATTTTGTAAAGTATATTTTTAATAAATACTATAAATATTTCAGAAGTTTATTAATTTATGAATATTAAAATAATAAAAATATAATATTTATTTCAAAAAACTTTTTTTTCTAAACAATTATAATAAAATATAAGAAAAAGTTTTTAAAAAAATATATAAAATAATTTCTTAATTAAGATTTTAAAATAAATATAAAGCATAATATTTAACTAAAAACGGAACTATTATAAAATATTTAACTTTTTGATTTTATTTTCTCAGTAAACTTTTATGTAAGAAATTTTCCTAAAAAAAACGTTAATAAAAAACAACCAACAACGAACATACACAAAACTTTTCATATATAAAAAAGTTGTTTTCATTATTTTCTTTGCATACCTCGCAAGAGTGGTTTATAAAACGCGCTTCGTTGCCCTTTTTAGTGCCGTCCAATACAAAGTTATCGTTCAGTTTGAACAAGTAACTGCTTCCTATTCCTTCTTTTTCGTACAAAGCCTCCCGCTTAGTGGCTACAATTTTCCTTATAATTTCTCCAGTATATTCCAGAACAAACTCATTAGGTTCTTAAAAATAATAGTATAAATAAAATATTATTTGAAGTAAGAGAAAAAAATATAAAAAAGGTTAATAATAACAATATTAATAAAAAATTTAAATAATGAATTATAAATGAAGATAAAATTTATAACAAAAATAAATATAAAATAATAATATGAAATATTGTGCGTAAAGTTGTATTTATTTCTTTTCAATTCTGGAAATATTATTAAAATATTTATAATAATAAAAAGTTATATAATTATAATATAAGCATTAATAATTTATTTAGTCTACTTAAAGTAATAGTGAATGAGATAATATTAAAAAATATTAAAAGTTAAAATAATTAATATATTAAATAACATATATAGCAAATAATAATAATGAGAAGCATTTTTAGTTTTATTTAATAATAATGGATTTAATGAGGATTATAAAAAAAATCAAAAGCTATAATAATAAACATATAATAAAAATAATAAACAACTCTTTTTAGTTTTTATTTTTAATAATAAATATAAAAATGAATATAAAAAAATAATAAAAGTTAAACATTATTTGTTAATACTATATAAAAATATATTAATATATAAAAAATATAAAGATAAATAATGATATAAAATAAATAAACTTTTAACTTTATTAACAAAAATAAAGTTTATTAACAATTATTATAAAAAATAAATAATTTTAGTTCTTAAGAAAGTTAATAAATATTGAGTATTATAAAATAAAACGTTTAGTTACTAAGCAGAAATAATGAATATCCTAAAAGCACGAAATATTTATATAAAAAACTTGTAATAAATAATTTTTAATAATAAAAAATAAACAATATAAATAAAATTTATTATAATTATTTTAATAATTATAAAAATATTAAAAAAATTAATAAAGGTGGTAATATAATGTAGAACTTTTCTTTAAAAGTATATATAAGTAATAATATTATAAATAAACTATAAAAAATGAGATAAACTTTGAAAAGAGTTATCAATTTTATTAAATAATAAAAATTTAAGAATAATTGAAAAACAATAGTATAAAAGTAGAAAAAATAAGTAAAAAGCACAATAAAGTAAAAATATTATAAGGAAAATACGTATAAAGTTTTTAAAAAAAATATAAAAACTTTCGTATAGTTTTTGTTTATACTACATAATATATAAATAATAAAGAATTTATATAAAAATGGAAAAAAATTTATTTTATAGTTTTTCTTGTATGAAAAATAATTACATTCGAGAAAAAAATTAGAATTTATATAAAAAGATTATAAAAATATTAATTACAGTCCTTCTTATATTAAAAATATTAACATCCGAAAGATACCTAATAGTACTAATGACATAACATAACTTAACGATTATTAATAGTTAAGAATAAGTTTAAAAAAAATTATTACTTTTACTTATAATAAATTTAGATATAGTAAATATAATAATATAGACTAAATATATAATTCGATGTTAAAATTATTAATAATTATAAAAATTTTATTTATTAATATGGTTATATTAACAGTTATATATATGTATATATGAAGTTTTTTTTATAAAAAGTTTTGTTATAAAAATTGAATATTTATAATTAATAAAATTTTAAAAACAATATTTAACACATACTCAAATGTAATCCAAATATAAATATTATTACAACTATATTATAAAACTTTAAAGTTTATTATATACTTAATGTTAAAAAAGTATTACTGTCTCTTTTCTTTATTAACAATAAATATAAAAAAAATAATGGAACAAAAAATATTTTTTTACAAACCAATAACTTCTAAAGCAAACAAGCCAGTCCCATGAATAGTTGACCGTCCAAATCGCAATTTTTTCTTCCTTTTGCTCGACCACTCAACATGCTCTGAAGAAGCGCCAATAGTTCTAAATAATAATAATAATAATAATAATAATAGTAATAATAATAATAATAATAATAATAGTAATAATAATAATAATAATAAAGGTATCAAAAACCTTGTTAAAGCTCGAACGTCTCGATTCGATTGATAAACGGGCCCGCCGCTTAATAAAGTTTGTTGGGCTGTTATTTCAGTACAAAAATTGGTAAATTATAAACAGTTTACTTTTTTTTTCGTTCTATTCTTAATTATATGGTTTTTATATGGTTTTTTATTTTTATATAAAACAAGTAAATAATATAAGAAATAAAAAATGTATGTTACAAGTTTTTCATTAAAAAAGTTTAACAATAATATATTTTCTCTACATTATAAAAATGATGAACATGAACGTGAAAGTACTTTAAAAATAAACTAATTAGTTATGAGCATTTAAATAAAACACTGCTGCAAAGCCAATGAGAAACGACATAGTTTAATTCAAATTGTTGATAACCAATCAGATTTCTAAAATTTTAAAATATTATCCAGTAGTTCTTAAACGACTTTTTTTTTATCAATAGTCCCTTAGAAAATGAGCACTTCTAAAAAAATTTTACTTTAACATGCGTTTATGTTTAGTTTATTACGTTGAATTTTCTCCTTTTTATTTTTCAGTAAAAAATTGTTGGGGTTCACAATTAATGTATACTATCTTCAATTGATGGATTTATTATAACTAAATATAATGAATTTAAAAGGGAGTATTACAAAAATTTATATGAATGTTACGCTTTATTAGAAATTCTTATAAATTATTTAAACAAAAGTTGATAATAATAATTTATCATAAATAAATAATTATAATAAAAGTTCTACAAAGATATAAATTGTCAAGCAATTTTCATTAACGTACAAACAAAAAAGGAGTTTTTAGGGGCAAAGAAGGATTTTTCGGTTGCAGTAAGCTTGTAAAATCCTATCAAAATAGAAAGATAGATCCTGTTAAAGTACACAACGCCAATAAAAAAGCTTCATGGGAACAAATAAAAAATACAAATGATATATAAATTTAGGCATTCCATAAATATAATGAATACATGTTAAGTCACTAAAATCCTTAAAAAACCAAAAGATAAAGGGTTTACATACATCATAAGTAAGAGCGAACTTTCTCAAACCTTCTTAGAAAAGAATCTTATAATTATAATGTAATGTATTATAAATTCTTAAAAACAATACTTATATTAGAATTTGATACGTTGCTGACTACTGCGTAATTTTAATTGGTACAAAGTTGCCCGATATAAGCCAATCCGATGTTAATAATATGCTAGAGTTTTGAACTTATTAGATATTTTGTTTCGATAATACTACGTTTGTAAAAAAGTCCCTCGATATTGTCACGTGGTATTTGCACTTTTTTACGAAATGAAGCACGTGTGGCTATTGATGTAAACATATTTACAAAATTAAAAAAAAAGTTTTTTATAAATCACGTACCAGTTTATTACACACTTTTAACGTTCAGTAAAGTTGTAATAAACCAATAAGATAAGAAAAAAATTTATATTATAGCCAACAGTTAGATACTACGCGTATTAAAAATGTATATATTTATATTATATATATATTATAACAAATTTCGGGAAACCTTCGGTTCTTGCGGATCCGGTTTCGTGGACTCTTATAGAAGTGGGTAGCATTTTTTTTTTGTTTATACTAAAAGGGTTGGAGTTTGTAATATGTTGGGGCAAACTATACCCTTCACGAAGTTAATGAAAAAGTATATTATTTGAAAATGAATAATGCATTTTGTAATAAGTATATAAATATATTATTAGAAATATTAATATATAACAAATAGAGAAATAAGTGAAAAGAGTAAAAGTATAATTTAAAATAATAATATTTTTATGATATATATAATGTATATAATAATAATATTGTAATATATAACAATGTTACATTTAAAATATGATAAAAAAAGTAACGATAGAATAAATAAATAGTAAATACAGAGTAATAATAAAAAAAAAAGAAAAATGAAGACTTTATAGATTTTATAATAATAGTTAATCATAAATAGTATATGAATAATTGTGGAAAATAGTAAGTATCTACTTTAAATAAAAAATAAGTTATTAAATAATATAGACTTTGAAAAACTAAAATAAAATATACAAAATAAATAACTCTAACCTTTTCTTCATATTATATATACAAAAGTAATATATAAAAATAATAATTGACATATAATATTATTAATAAAATGGAATCATTAAAAAAAATATTTATACTTATAATATCACAACTTTTATATATATAATGCATAAGAAGTATTTAAAAAACATATTAGCAGGAAAAAATAGTATAAAAATTAGGTTATTACATATGATAAAAGTCTATAATAATAAATATAATAATTAAATAAAAAATAAATTAATGTTCACAATAAAATCTAAATAATGATAGCAGATAAAAATATACAACTTAATTATAATAATAAATATAAATAATAGAAGAATTTAAATAGTAAAAAACCTAAATTTTAATTAATAAATATAAAAAATTCGAACATTAATAATAATAGATAAAATAGTTAATAAATAATTATAATAAAAACAAATAATAACTATTATATATAATAAAATCCATATAACAATAATTAATAAATATATATATCATACTCCAGATAATAATATTAAATAAATATAAGGAAAACCATATAATAGTAATAAGTAAATATATTTATTTAAACAATAACAATTATAAATTAATTAATTTGACTAAATAATATCATATGAATAAGCGTAATAAAACCAATAAATAATAATAGATAAATATAAAAGGATCAAATAATAATAATAAATAAATAAAAAATAGCTAAATTAAGTGATAATATGTAAATATAATAAAACTAAATTATATTTTTTTTACTTTTTTATTTATAAAAAGTACTTTTCCTAATATAAAACCTTTTTTACATACATTGCTATTTCCAAAATTATATTAAAAAAACCTTAATATTAAAAAACAAGTTTTTATAATTTACTTTTAATTATTATTTAAAAAATTTATTTTTTTAAAAAAGATTATAAATTTAAAAAACTTTTGCTGTCAACTTTTCATAGTTGTTATTATAAATATTATTAAAGTTAATAAAAAAATAATAATAATAATAATGAAGCTATACAAACAAATAATTAGCATTAATATTTTTAAAAGATTAAATTCATTTTTTTAGTTTAATGGAATTTTTCAAAAGTAAAAGTAAATTTTTAATTATATGTATTTAAAATAACTTACTTAATAGTTCGACTTCTTTTTCAGTAAAAAATTCATTTGGAAAAGATATATTTTCTAAAGTTAAATTTAAAAAGTACAAATCTTCATCGTCTAAATTTAAAGTTCCGTGCTGATCACGTTGCAAAGGGTTGTTGTTTTGAAGTTTGCTTAACTATCAATTAAGAAATAAAAGTTAAAGATTGTCTTAAATTTATATAAAAATTTTAATTTAATTTTTATTAGTAAATTTCAAGATTAAAAATTTGATAAGAAAAAAAAAATTGAATGTCGTGTTATGAAAATACACCACTTGCTTTTCAATTTAAAAATATTTAAATTTAAAGTTTATATGAAAATTAAAATGAAAGTCCTTAAGTAATAATTATTATTATTTAAAAGAAAATAATAATATTAAGTAAAAAAAAATTATAATTAAATACAAATTTTTTTTTAAAAAAAAAAGGGAAATTAGGAAATATTTTGGCTTTAAAACTTTTGTAAATTCAATTCCAAACTAGTAAATTTCGAATTTATACAGTTCAAATTTAATATTTTTATAATTTTTATAAATATTTTTAAACAACTTTTCACGCATGGCCAAATTACCATTTAAGATATTAAAGGTTTGTTAATAAAAAAAATTATATACATCAGCAAAATCGATCATCAATAATATTTAATTAATAAAAAAAGAAAAATAGAAAAAGGAAAGCACCAACTTTAATTTTTTCGCATAAAAAAGTTAATTCTAAAATTTAGTAAATTAGTAGAAAACTATTTTAAAAAGTTATAAAGTTGAATAATCGCGAGAGAAAATATTAAAAATAAATAATAATAAAAAAATATTCTTTAGGAATTAATTTTTTTTTTTTTGAAAAATTTGGTTTCTGATTTAGTTTAGTAATAAAAAATAACAAGTTTAAGTTTAAATAAAATATAATTAAATTAAGAATATATTTTCAAAGTAAAGAGGTTTGATAAAAACCTGTCAACTGTTTTAAATAAGTGTTAAAAAAAAAATTAAAATATCTAAGAACTAGTTAATTGACAAATCAAAACTTTAAAGATGTTATCAAATCATAAATTAATAAAAATTTTTATTAAAATCTTAAACAAAAATAAATAGGCAAAATTATATTTTCGTAAAGCCAAAAAATTATAAAAACAATTTAAATTCAAAATTTAATAGTTTTTAAATAATTCCTCAAATAATTATATGTATATAATATTGTAGCAAGTCCTTCACAAGTACAATAAAGAATACAACTTTGAAAGAATTTTTTTCCGATGAATTTTACTAAAATTCTACACGGTGAATTCCATTTTAAAATATTATAAAGAATACTTTTTTCTATCTTTAAGTAAACAATCTAAATTTATTTAAATTCTAGTATAACTTTGATAATACCTCGAGAATTTCAGGCATAAGAACTTTAATTCTCTCTCTTAAAGAAGGTAAATATTTTGTTTGATCCTTATATTCGGCTCCAACTGAAGATGAAATTTTACTTGAGCTAAGGCACATAAAATAAAATAAAAATTGAAGCAGATTGTACAAAAATATACACTTCGGCGTTTTACTATACTTGAAAAAATATATACAATGCGGCAATATTTGTTAAAGATGATAAAAAAGAAAAGTACGGAGAAAACAAATTTAAAACAAAAAAGATTTTAGACGGATAACTGTTGTTTACCTTTTATTATTTCGGGGGGAGTCTGAAGCCAAAACATCAACGTCAAAAGTAGTAATTTTTCCAAGCGGCAGCGGCAAGTCACCCTTATCAAGTTTCTTGGAAGAGTTTTCGCTTATAGTCTTAGGACTATGCGTTCTCTTACTTGGTTTGTTTGCAGATTCAGTGGCTTTATTATTTTCATGTTCCGTTAATAATTTAGAAAGGGTAGGAAGTACTATTTCTCGCTTATTATTAAAAGATAATCAATTATTATAGCTTAATATAAGAAAAAAGTATTTAAAGAAAAAGTTAAAAATCAAAAAAAAAATACTTTTACATAGCCTTCAAAGTTCTTCAGTATCTCTTTTTCCAAAACATCTATAACATCTGAAAGAGAGTCTTGTAATTTCTTAAAATTTGAGTTCTTACTTTCTCTAGTTTGCCGAACAGTTTCCTTTGATAACGGTTTTATGTATTTTTTAAGATTATTATTATTACTGCTAGTATTATTATAAACAGTTTTTTGATTGTTATATTGAAAAGTTCCGTTATTAAAGACATTAGCCTTTAAGTGATTTGAATGGTTACTCTCGATGATCTTATCCTGAAAAATATTTATATCATTCATAGTAATTTTACTAACATATTCAACAGTTGACGGCAGCTTTGGAGCTATTGGAATATCTTTTTTGATTATTTCAACAGGCGGTATTCCACTAAAATTATGAATGCAAACGCTTCCAGGTGCAACAACTAAATTAGTGGGGCTTTTATTGCTTGAACTTGTATTGTTAATATTTTTTTGGAGGTTGTCACTTAACTTACAATCTGATTTAAAGTTTATAGATGGTTTACAAAAAGCAACACCACTGAAATCAACCTCCTCAACCTCCTCAATTATAGGAAGCGAGCTCCTCTGATTGTCGTCTAAGAGAAAAGAATGAAAGTTCATTATTCCCATTACTCGTTTATAAAAAACAAAGCACAAGCTTTTACTACTAGAAGATTTAACAAATAGTGATTTATTGATATTGAAAAGGGCTTCAGTTTTAAAACAGGTTTACCATTAAGGGCCGTCCCCCTTAATAAAAAAGAAGAACAAAGGTAAGGATTATATTCTAGTGTAAACTTTTTTAATAAACCAAGTTTATTTATCTACTGCATTAACTCTATTCATTCGGACTAAATAAGGATAGCATGAAATATAAATAGTTAACGAGTTATGCTAACACACATGCATTGGCCCTCGAACGGGCAATAAAGTACTAACAGTGGTAACAAGATAAACTTCAGACCACTGAACAACTAAATAATATTTTTTCTTTATTAAAAAAATTTTTATTCTAATAAAAACTTAATGGGGTGCACCATGAGCAGATAACTCCGATATACAAAACATATAACAACCTCTCCACCGGCGGCCTTTTATTAACAAAATCCAATTACAAAGTTTACAAAAACTGAACACGGGTTTTTAGGTAGCAGAACAACTAATACTTTGTCGTTTTCCCCAGCATAACTTAAAAGTGCGTTTAGGTTTCAATATACAATTTTTATAGGAAGAACGATGTAATGGTACTGAACAAAGGCACCTAACTTAAGGTAGTTTTATCTGCCTTTCTTGATCCTTAAGGTAAGCGGAGTGAACACTTCCTTGAATATGTTATAAACTTTTTCTTTAAAATCTCGTTAGTAGATATCGCTTAATTATAGAAAAAATATCTTAAAGGAAAGTACATAATACAGTAGAAAGCTTTTGCTAATAATCTAGCATGCGCCTCTATCATCAATTTCAGTGGATATTATTATATTAAATGCAACCAATTATAACTTTGTGATATGCGTAGAGATTGCGCAGCAATGCTCTAACCACTGAAGTACGGTGACGACTCACATCCTCGGTTCGATAAATTACGTATACAACCTTTGAGGTTAGTGTCGCTTTGTTAGCAGCATCAATTTCCGTCACAAAAAGTGCCGTCTCACATAGTAGGTGATGGTAAACGCGCTTGATTTTTGTATTTTTTAAAAAAACCTCTTGAAAGAGAAACGACTGTTACATTACTTAACTATGTCTTCCCCACAAACGGATTATGGTACGCCGACAGCTCTTTCCTAATGCACCGATGTAGTGTATATAGCGCTAATATTCCTTCTGAACTTGGTTAACCATCACAGCTAGGACGAAGTTCCATGTGGTAAATGTCGCGTGTTTAAATGAGTCGTTAACCCTTTACAGTTTTAAAAGAGAAAACTTATACAAAGCCCTCTTAATAATTGTGATGGAGCCGGGCAAAGCCGCTTTCTCGGAGGGCATAACTAACTCTAACTACTCTCCTTCCCTTTGCAGTTATTTATGGGATTTTTTTAGTCTTGATACGGTAAAATCGGTCATAGTAAAGTATGGCTACAATAAGGTTTTTTTCTATATTTTGGAAATAAAAATTTAATTTCTAGCTTTTCTTAATGAAGGTTGCACTTCAATTTCCAGACGAGTTACTGAAATACTCTGTTCAAATTGCGTTACTTTTGGAAAATAAAAATTATGAAATTTATATTATGGGTTTTTTAACTACATTATAACAGCATGATTTAGACAGTTTTTTTATTTATTATATTTTAAAGGCGATACGCCCTATGGGAGCTGTTGCGTGGATGAAATAACTGCTGAGCATGTTTGTGCTGATTTAATAATTCATTTTGGACGAGCTTGCCTATCCAAGTTTCTATACAACTTTAATATTATATATATTTATAAGTAAAAAACAAAAAAGACATAAACTGCTTTTTTCAGAGTTGAAAGAGTGCCAGTTTTATATATTTTTGGGAAACACGCTATTGACGTTGAAGATGCCGTTGAAAAAATTTTAGAGCTAATTGAAGATAACCATCAACCTGCTTTGCTTTTATATGATGTTATATACTATCATTCTGCAGGTTTTTTTAAAATTTATTATTTTAATAAATTTTTTACTATGTTGGTGTTTTGTTTAATTCAGTAAAATTTTATTTTCCACTAAACTAAAATATTTTTTCCCCTTCATTTTGATTGCTTATAAACGTTTTATTATATCGTTTATAAATCCCTATTAATTTTATATTTTATACGCTTTTTATATTAGGAAATATTTGTTCTTTCCTTTTTGGAGATTTTTAAATTCATCTTCCTTTTCTTATATATATTCAGTTTTATGAACTTTTTATACTTATAAACTTTTCCTTATCTATTTAACTAACGAATAGTACAATTATAATGTATAAATTATTTTTATTATTTTTATGATGTTTACCTGTTACTATAATTGTATAAAAAGAACTTCTTTTTTCAAATCTGCTAAGTAAATTGAAAAATTTAATCTATAGCCGACTCAGCGTCCCCGATACTTTTGATCCCCAGACGAGGCATCCATTTATAATTTTTATTTATAAATTTTCTAATTTTAAATAAAAATTTAATAAGTATAAATTTATTTTAGTTTCATATTAAAAAATATAAAACGTACACACTTACTTATTAGAGTTTTATACGCCCAGATTGGTTTGAAATTAAATAATAATTTTAATTTCATACTTGAGAATTTTTTTTTTAATTTTTGCTTGTTATAATATTTTTATTAAAGTTACTTTAATATTTTTAACATTAATTATTTTAAATTTTTATTTTATTTTAATAATTGACACTTTATTTATTTTATATATAAAAGATTTGAAATTAAAAATAATCAAGAAAATAAATTTAATACTGAAGTAAACGACTTTGGAAGAATCTTTGAATTACTTTCTGATACTAAAATTGAAGATTATTTGATAATTTTTATTGGTTACTTTTATATAGCATAAAAGTTTTCTATTATATATTGTTTGTAATTTTTATAAGATTGTTACTCTTTTTTATTTTAATTTTAATTGTAAACTTTTGGTGCATCTTATACTCAAAAGTTTAAACTTTATAAAAAGTACATGAAATTTTTATAAAGTTTGTTAGCGTTTATTATAGTTACGAAAGTTATATTTAAATTTATGTTAAATTTTATTTTAGTTAGAACATAAATTCAAAAATTTTTAGTAAATTTTAAATTATAAAAGTTATTTTTAATTTACCTTTTCCAAAAATTGGACTCTAAATTTTTGTTGTAATCTACTAAAAGTTTTAACAATATAAAAAAAAATTTAATTTTTAAAGATTTTTAGAGTTTTATTAAGATATTTTAAAGTTTCTTTTCTAAAAAGTTTTGTTTTTTAATTTATAAAAAATACAGCAAAACTTTGAAGATTGTAAGAGTTCTATTAATATTAAACAATAATTTAAATTGTGGTTGGGGTTTTCTCTAAATTTAACTGTAAACTTTTAAAATTACGACAAAGTTTTAAAGATGGTGTTTTTTTTTACATATAAAAGTTATCTTTCAGTTTACATTATTTTTGTAAATTTTGGTTATGATGTTAACTATAAAGTTATTTCATTAATTTTATTAGGAAAGTTAGAAATTTATAACTTTTTTATAAAATTTTAAAAAGTTTTAAATTTTTATAAAGAAGAAATGTTTCCAAATTAATTCAATCTATTTTATTTGCGGCTGTATAAATAATAATGATATTGTTAAAGTTAATAGTTTGGACAAAAGTAATATAAAAAATTAATAATTATTGTTATAATAATAAATTGAATTGTATATTAATAAAAATAAAGTTGAATTATAGGAAATAAAGGATAATATATAACAATAATAACTTTGAGAAACTTGAAACCACAATAATGATATTGTAATAAAGTATTGCTGGTTTATTCTAATTATTATGGAAAATAGTTTGTGTATATAAACATTAGTTGATAATAATAATAATAAATAATAAAGCTAAGAAATATAATAATGTAAGCGAGATTTAAGTATTGTTTATTATAATAAATATATAAAAACATTAATAATATTAATTTTTACAAATATATAGCATTATGCACTCTTGAGTTATGCAATTATTAAATTGTATTTCTTTTAATAAGCGTATATTTTTAGTGAATTTTTAATAGGAAATAATAATAATAGTAATTATTTTTCTATAATTTTTTATATTTACAAATAAAAATATTTTTTAGATGAAATATTACAAATAATAGTATTTATATATTAATATATTTTACGAAGAAAAGAATTGATAATATATTTTTTATTAGGAATATTAATAGTAATAGTACTTGTTTATATTATATAAATAAAAGAAATGGTAATATGTTTTTTATAAGGATTAATCATAATTATAGTAACTATTTATATTTTATATACTAAAGCAATAATAAAATACTTTTAATATAAGAAATATTTAACAATAATAATTTTTTTTATTGTATAATTAGAAGAAATAGTAAATTTTTTCTCAAGTAACCAAGCATAATGGGTAATCATTTACATTTTACTTAAAAAAGAAATGATAATAAAATATTTTTTCATTTAAACAATTTTAATATTAATGATTATAATAATAAATAAACTCTAATAATTATTTATATTTTATAAATAAAAGAAGAATAAATAATTATGCAAATGAAAGAAATAATAAATTTTTTTTATTTAATAATAGTAATACTCTCAGGATCATATAAAATAACAATATTAATAATCTTAATATAATTTGCCAATAAACAATAATTAATTTATTATACAAAGAAAGAAGTAATAAATAATAATACTTATGCAAATGAAAGAAATAATGATACTTTTATTATAAGAATGATAATAATACTATTTTCAGGATCGGAAGGGCCTACATTAACTTCTATGATGCTTTATTACAACCAATCCAAAGTAAACCTTTTTTTTGAAATGTTTTTTTTGATTATGATTTGCAGTGAAAACGTTAATAAATATTGTGCATTTCATTATATTTTTTTGATGGATCAAGAAAAAATTATATTGAATTTCCTTTCATTATTTTTGTTATTTTTTTATCATTACATTTCATTTATTTGTAATCTTTTATTTTTTTAATAGTTATAATATTATATGTTGGTTATTGCTAGAAAATATTTTTATAATAGTAACATTTTACACTTCACATTTGTATTATTATTTGATTTATTATTATTTAATTTTTTATTATCGTATTAATTATTCATTAATGTTATTTATAATATTCACTTTTATTATTCCCCTTTTTTTATTCTTTCTTTTTTATAATTATTTTAAGATATACTTTTTTAAAAGTTCCTTAGTTATGATCCTTTACTAAAGCGCGCGAGAATAGAATCCGTTGCTATCAATAAAACTTTAATGAAAAGGTTTATTACTATTGTTGTACTTTAATTGGTTTTTTATATTTATATCGATTGTTTATCTACTGAAAATTTTAAATTGTAAATATAATTTTTATAGGAAAGTTATAAAACTTGAAACCTTAAATAAAATTTATTTATATTTAATTCATTATATTATTTGTTTAAGTTTTTGCTAATAATTAATTGATATAAAAAGCTCAACTTTTTAAGTAGTGAGGTTTAAGTTTATTGGTCAACTTTCTGATTTCTGGTTGGTCACATTATTTTGTCAAAGTTTAGTGAATTTTAGTTTTAAGAGAGGTTGTATAATATTATTTGATATTTACTTTGTATTTCATTGATTCTTATGGTTTTAGTTTTTATTATTTTTTTAAGATTTTTTTGCAAAATAACTTTATTTCCATTTTACTCTTAAAAAATAAGTTACTATATTAATATACTTTCAACATAATTTTTTTGTATAATAGTATTTATGATTTATAAGAAACTTAATCCGAATATTATTTTTTTATTTTTTTTTATTATCGTTAAAGATATTATCTTATTGAAAAAGCCAAAGATGCGAGACTAGTAGGAATATTATTAGGAACTCTTGGCTCTGGTTATAAATTTTTTTTTGATAAATAAATAAAATTAAGTATATGCTCTAATAAAGTTTTACTTTCATATAACTTTTACTTCATAAAAATATAGTTCTAATAATAATGTTGATAATAATTAAATACAATTATTTAATAAAATTTATATAATTATTATTAGAAATTTAAGTAAAAATTTACTGATTTCATGTTATATATTTTTTAAGAAAAATATTTTATGAAACTTTCTCCTTTATAAATTCATATCTATTTAATAATAATATAAAATATAAAATATAAATATTTAATTAAGACTAGTATATATTACTAAAATCATAATTAAAGTTTTACTGTTTCTTAATTTATGATATAATTATATTCTCTGAAACTGTTACTTTATAAATAATAATAATAATTTAAATTAAATATAATTGTCTAATAAAGTTTTATTATTTGTTACGAAAATTATAAGTAAAGTTTTACAGTTTATTTATTATGAATAAGTTATATTTTTATAATAATGGTAAGTAAAGTTTAATACATTAATATAAGGAAGTTTTATTATATACTACTAAAATATAAGTAAAGTTATATTTTTTTTGTTATATGTATTAAAACGTATCATTCATAAATGTTTTACTATTTTGTATTTTTTATTAATAACAGTACAATTATTATAATAAAAAATGGTAATAACATTATATTTATAAGTATTTAAAAGTTTATTATAAGAAGGTTATTATTTTTTATTTTATTTTTACTTTATTTTTTTAAGATGTTCTATTTTTAATAATTTTTATATGAATATATTAAAAGTTTTTCATTAATAGATTTTTATTAACTATTTATTAATTATTATTATTTTATAATTTTTTAAAAATATATATTATGAGAAAAAACTTTTATTTATTAATATTTATTTAGTCTAATAAAAATATTTATAAAGAATATATATTAAGTAGTTCTGTAAATATAACCATCACGCAAAGGAATATAACCTAAGTTTTATTGTTTTTTGCTTAAAAAAGTGTTGAATACATTATTTTTAGCGTAACACTGTATATTTAAATATAAATAAAAAAAGTTATATTTACTTTAATATTTAATAAACTTTTTTACTACTAACAACAATAGTAAACTATTTTTATGAATATTTTTTTAATAATAGTGAAATAATACTTGATTTGTTTATAACGTTTATTACTATTAATAACAATAATAAAATCAGTAATCTATTTATTTATTGAATATTTTATACAAATAATAATAATATTTAATGAAAAAGTTAACGAATGTTGGTGAAAAATTCTATTATATACTTTTTATTAAAACAGTAATAAAAATAAATTAAGTAAAAACTTTTTATTTTTGCTTGTGTAATTAATAAAATTTAATAATAATTATTACAAAAGTAAAATATTTTTTAAATACGATAAACAAGTAATAAATTTATATTTATATATTATTTTTTTATAATAATATTATAAAACAAGTATTTTATTGTGTTTTCATCAAACTTTACTACTACCACGAATGAAGTATAGTAACTTTTTTCAATGAATATTATGATGAGAAGTTCATAAAGTTTATAATTAATAATAAGAAAGTAAAACTTATAATTCTTTAAATATTATAAATAAGTAACGCTAAGAATATTCTTGAATATACTTTATCTTTTTTTCTTAAAAAAAAACCTTTATAAAGTGTCACTTTTCGCGAGTAGTATTTAATAAAAGTAATAAGTACGAAGAAATAAAAATAAATAATTTTTTTATATAATAAAAAGTAAATTATATTTAAATTATTATAGTAAAAAGTAGTTTTGCTTTTAACTAATAAATTTTAAAATAAACTGTTTAACTATTAGTGTGACTTAGAAGCACGTGGCGTTAGATTTATATTAGAGCAATTACGTAGCCAAGCAAGCGTGTTATCTTTTTTTCATCGATGTGTTAATTTTAATATGTTGAAAATACATTATAGTTTGCTTCTAGTCCGATTATTTTTATTTTATGTTTAGTAGTGTATACTTATATTTATATTATTAATATTAAAACAAGTTTAATAAAAATTTTATTTTTTCATAATAACCTAAACATTTATTAATTATTTTATTACCTTTTAGCGAATAAAAAGTTTGTTTCTTTATAATAGTTTTATAGGAATATATTTTTTGTTATACTTATGTTTCTATATATGTTTTTAGCGTTTTTGCATAAAACTAACTTTTTTGGGTAACACATTTGCTTTACAATTTTAATACATTATAAAAATATCCTACAGAAAACTTGAAAGCGTTTTATTAATTATTTTTGTTTTATTTAAAAAAGTTTTATTTAAAAAGTTTATGGCTTTATGTTTTTATATTGACCAACAGGAAAATACAAAGAAATTACTGAATACATGAAGCGTATAATCAAAAATGCAGGGAAAAAGCCATACATAGTAATTTTTATGAGTGGATGCTTTTTTTTTGAGGCAATTTTAATTGGTTGAATATTTTATTTTGAATGTTATAATTGGATAGTTTACAAATTGTTTTTTTCTGTCATATTTTTATTCCCTTTTTGTGCATGAAGTTGTTTTTAATATTATTTTAAGCCTTTTTTAGTAATAGTTTCTTTTAAACTTTTATCATGAATTATAACGTTAAAACTTTTAAAAAACTTATTATTTTTATAACTATTTACTTTTTTTAATGAAACTTTATAACCTTTTTTCACGTGTTATTTTCAATTCACTATAATTATTGTATTTTTTTTGAAACAACACTTATTATGAACAGTTTATGTTGGGGAGAGTCTCCGACTTGAAAATCGCTAATTTTATTGAAATTGATATTTTTGTTTTATTGGCATGTCCAGAAAGTTCTTTTCTTGATTCAAAAGTATTACTATTATTATCATTATCATTATTATTTGTGATACTCATATTTTAAGAACTTTTATCGTCCCGTTATTACTCCTTTCGAAATGCAACTCGCGTGTGTGCGGTATAAATATTTTGCATTATTAACATTTCATTACTTTTTTTGAAACTTTTACTAATATCCATTAGAAGTCTTGACTGGACGGGCGAGTTTACTACTGATTTTCACAAAGTTTTGTTTAACCTCAATGAAAATAGTGAAAATGTTTTTATTCTATTATCCTTAATTTTTTTTTAATATTATATATAGTATCTTTATTATAAATTTTTTAAGCTTTATATACATTTTTACCTAGTACGATAGCGAGGAAGAAGGAGACTTCAGCCTTATTAATGGCCGCTATCGTGTTAATAAAAATGTTGCTGAAGGTTTTTATTTTTTAATACAGTTCGTTTTTTTATTTTTCAATTACGTTTTAAATATATTTTATTATTGATTTATTAAATTTATTTCTAAATTTTTATATAATTTTTTTATGAAATTATTTATTATAATTATTATGAAGTATTGCTTCGAGTTTTTGTTAGTATATATTTTGTATATTATTCAATACATTATAAATTTTTTATTCTTTTAATACAATGTTCTATTATAATTAAATTTATTGTGAGAGTTGTCATCATGGTTATATTAGTATTGCTTTGGAATATCATAATACATTTTATTTATTTTTTTAATAAATCCTAATATAAAAATTTTAATCATTATTTTCTTGAATATTGCCTGAAAGAAATGGTATTTCGCTCCAATAGCATTTCTTATAAAACCATGTGTATTATTACAGAAAATCGTATATTTAAACTTTTTTGAAACTTTATAATATTTTCTTTTAGGTTTTAATAGTTTTTTAATAAATATTAATTGTATCATCTATTAAGTTTATATATATTTATTAGTCCTTCTTTTTATTATTTATTCTCTTATTAATATATCATTTATTCATTATTAATATTTATAAGATCGTTACTTTTTAATATATATCAAATTGTATTATTTTTTATATTATGTTGCTTGCTATATAATTATAATTCTATTTACTTGTATTAGATCTTATATTTATTATTTTATATATTATCTTTTGTATATAATACTTATTTCTATGTATATATATTTTTTAATATATATATCTTTTTATATCCGGTGTCATAATTTTAATTATATATGCACATTTTAGTATATTATAAATTATTATATTAAATTTTTCTTTTTTTCTTTATGATGTTATTATTTTTATTCTGTTTTATATATTAAAAAGTTCTATTATATTTATTATTGATTATTTTTTTTGTTAATAATATGAATTCATTATATTATTTATAAAATAAAGTTTCTAGCAGAGAAATTTGCGCGTTGAATAAAGAAACGTTGGTCGTCACTGCAAAGTATTATAAATTTTGATAACTTGAAATTTTTATATTAAATATTGTAATTGTTTTTCGTCACTTGAATATTTTTTATTTTTTTAAATTTTTGAGTGTTTTTATTTTTATATAAACTTAAATTTACTTACTATTTTTCTTTATTTTTTTATTTAAATTGCTGTATTTTATTATATTTATTTTATTGATTTTAACTTAATGTATTTTTATATTTTCTTTATACTTTTTGTTTATTTTATTATACATTAATATATAATTTATTTAATAGTATAATTTATACATTTATAAAAATTTTTTATTTACTATTTTTTGTATTACCTTTACTCTTACTTTTAGTATTTAGAATTAAATCTAAAAAGTTTTATACATAATTATTAGAGACTTTTTAAATCACCGACGAGGTTACCGCGGATTGGACAAAGCTTTACACGTGACAGAGGTGAGAAAAGCCGTCGCTGGTTCTACTGGCCTCCCGAGAGGTTATATTAGAATGGAAGAAAATAGTGAAGTTAATAAATTTATACGTCATGTGTAATTATTAATACTATTATAATTTAAAAAGAATTATATAGTAAACTATAAAGAAAAGGCATTAGTAATAATAAAAGTCAATAATTTTGAGTATAAATCTTACGCTAATTTTTTATTGTGGCGTAATACTAAAAAGACTGAAGTTCTACCACAGCGTCCACTTGCCTCTTAATAAGTTTACTTCTGTTTAAAGTTATATAACTTAATCGGCACCTTAATTTTATTGGTTTTCTCGCTCATGCAAAGATTTAGTTAAATATATTTTAAATAAGTATAGCTCTACTTCTTTTTATCCCGCGACGCTTAAAAATGGCCGCTGTTAACTGGGAATAGTTTTTTTTATAGCTGAGATGATTTACTACGCATGTGTAATTTAATACTTTTGCGAATCTATTGCGGATATAATGAGAACAACTTTTTTTAGAATAGTCATACATTTATTTATATATAATTGAAATGATTTTTTTACAATTACGTAACAATAAAGGTTTTCTGATAGTAATTAACTAGAGAGCAGGCGATTAGAAATGAGTCTAACTTGTAAAAAGTGTTGTATAATTACTTGGTTTTAGATTTTATAAATATACATTAGTTTACTATAAGTGAAATTTTAACAAATACAATTCTATATGAGTGGGTACACAATACTATAAGCATCGCTTGTTGCGCAAGGAGAGTTTGCTTATTCCACAAAATAAACTGTTCAGGGTTTGGGTCAAGTTCACGTGCGTCCGCCACGCCAGTTTATTCTCCTAAATCTAAAGATAAGCGACAATGGAGGCGTAGAGCACTTTGTAATTTAAAAAGCTTCGCACGACTCCAGGCGGCGTGCGTTAATAGGGAGAACTGCAAATGCTGAAGTAATATTGCAGGCCGTATCACTTGCATAGAAGGCGATTTACCGGTGGATCTCGCGCTCATAAAGTGTATTAGAACTTTTGAGATCGAAGTTGAATTTGCAACCATCAAAGGAATGAAAGAGAGTCGCGCTGGTGGATCGAACCTACGACCTTAAGTAACTGCATGTCAATGCTCTTAACCGCTGAGCTACAACGTAAACTCTCGAAAATGGTTGTTGGCTTATGTGTGTAACTTGTTAAAGCGCTTGTGCATTCATGCGGTTGTCCCTCAACTACAAAGAACATTAAATAAAAAGCATTGCTAATAATAATCTGTTCTCCTAATTTGTTTTTTCAGTATAAATACAAACGGCGCATTGGCAATGAACGTAAGCCCTCACGCTTTGTTCTATTTTTATTTATCATTATATAAAATTTAGGTCGATTCTAGTAAAGTTAAGATTAGATAGAGCATGTTGGAAAGAGCGTAAGGGAAGATTTTAACACCCAATTTTATGAAGCAAGCCTCCCCGTTAAAACGATTTCGACCTTGGAAAAGGGGGTGTTTACCGCCTCCTACATAACCGTTCTCTTAAACTTATTACTGTGGCTGGGAACTATGGCAGAGCGTGGCTGCTTTAGAGACGGTGTATTGGCTTCAGTTACTTTGCCAACAAAACGCTAATAGGCCAATAGCGTTTGTATATATACATATATAATGAAAAAGAAACCAAAATGAACTGGATCTAAAGACGGAGTTGAATTATATTTGTTCCCTGAAGTTGGCGCCCTGTAGTCAAATATTTAAGCTCTTTTAAACCGATAATCCTTATTTGTTAATAATAGAGTTGAAGTGTAGATAAACAGTTAACCCTTTATAAGTTATCTAATGGTCAAAGCATAAACGAATTGCGGTTAATTTATAAATTAGTGTAACTTAAATTAATATATAAAAGTTCCATATTTCTGTAATAATTAAAAATGCCAGTAACTTTTCTCTAGCTATTTAATCTCTGTATACCAGTAACGCTACAGAGCGGTCAAATACGATAAAGCTTAGCAAATCTTTACAATGAACCCCATATTTTTTTAATATAAATATGATTATATTAATACTCACAAAACGAAGATTATAACGAATAAATTTTCAGTGTTTATAAGCTCGGCAATGAAAAATTAAAAGAATAATATAGGTCATAACGTAGCTGCTCTTAACCGGCATCAAGATACTAGGATTGCAAGAAGGACCATTCAGACTATAAAGACTGAAAACAAAAGATATTTGACAGCACGTGGAATGTGGTGAAGTGCTGAACAAATACATTTATTGTTATATAAACTGCCCAACTTGGCAAGCGTGTCGCCTAAAATGCTTTTTTAAATGCAGGCAAAATATAACGAATTATTAGAAGAGAATCATTCAGTTGTTAAAAAAATAAAGAGCTCTAGGAAGAAACCAATTATCAAAGCATGACATTGATTACAATAAACTGGGTGATGATATAAAAATTTAGAAATAAAAACAGGAATTACACAAGGAAAAGAAGAAAAAAGTCTATAATATCAAGAGAGCTGAAAGACTAGTTGCGAACGAAATAGTTTATTTTAAAAATAATAAAAAATTTTTCCCATAAAACTGGGTGGAAACAGCTACTATATAAAAAGTTTTCCTAAGTACTGGATTAGATGAGCTAAATTTTGAAAAATAGCTACTTGAACGTTACCGAAATCAAATTAAAAAAGTGTGTGGAATGGAAGATAGTACTAATTGTGAAAAATTAGGGAGACTTAGAATCAAGACTGACGTTGGTGAACTTTTTATTAAATCAGGTATCACGTCTACCGAAAAAAAATAGTAAACACAGTCAAGTATTAAGTTTTAGGGTATTTAAATCTTTATTGACTGGTATCTAAACCTTTAATGCAGATATTTAAACCTTAAAGCCTTTTAAAATTTAATTTAAACAAATTTATATATATAGTGGAGACTTAAAGACTTGACTAAAACAAAAAAAGCACTGAAAAAAAAATTAACACGACTGCTGCTTATTTTTCGTGAACCTTCATTATATACTAACAACTAAGCTATGAAACAATCTAAATGATAATCATAAAAATTACCTAAAATGGTAATTAGCGTTAAAACATGAACTGGGATCTTTTCCTTAACAGTAAGTGCGGTCTTTTATGAATAAGTAGAGTATTCGCTGCCACGGATGGGTGGGTGAGATGGCACAAAGCGCTAGGGCAAAACGCCTTTGAGATAGCTACTAACGATAAACTGGTAGACTACCAGATTTTTCTTAAAGATTTCAGGTAAAATTCTTAAATAAAAGAAGTCTGATAAACTTGCTTCTTGTAAACTTCTAAACAATCGTCAATTTCGTAAAAGAATTCTCTTTAATCTATATCAATGATTTTAACTATATATAAGGTAAACTAGAAAAGGGTGCGAGGGGGGGACTGTACAAATGAGGGCTTCACTCTAGAGAGCAAATATATATATATATATAATTGTTTCCGCATAACATTGTTTTTTTCTTTTCATTAATTTGTGGTATCGGCTGTTCTGTGGTGCTTCCATGAGTCAAGAAATTTATCAGATAAATTAAAACCGTGTTGAAAATTTAATAAACCTATATTTCAATGTCCTATAGTTTATAATTTACAATCAACTATATTATATAACTAATAGTTTGTAAAGATACCAGTTTAAAGACTTAATCCAGGTAAATTAACATAAATACAACCAGTAGTAACGACAAAATAACGTTTAATTATATCGACGTGAAAGCTCTAGATCACAACCTTAAACTTAAAAATTAACAGTTTAAAATGAATTCATATGCATTACAAAAAACAGCTAAAAACCATAATTCAAAACAGACAAGATACATATTACGACTTCGACGACAAAGTAAACAGTCTAATCCATACAAACGAATAGGAATTCGAAAAATTAACTAACGTGCTATAAGTGAAAACTTAAAACATAATAAAACGTGTAAGGAACAGACAAAAACAGTCAGCCCCATAATACTACGGAGACCAACGAAAATTAAAGAAATTACCATACAATGGCAGCTCTGAAGAAATTGATGTTCTATTAAATGAGTACGTTTTTCATTGAGAGGAGTATTCAATATATTAATTTAACGAGCAGTTTCAAACGAAAAAACATTTTTTTGGAACACCAACTCAAAGCGAATATTTACCTGCAGCTATATTTTTTACCACACTAAGTGAAATATACTAAATGACAGAACACAGCACAGGATGACAGTAAAAAAAGAACTAATCTCTATATTAAAACATAAAGGATTCATTAAATTTTTAGAATTTTCCAAACACGACAGTCTGTTTAGACCACCTTGGAATTTAATTTAAGAAAATTTATATAAAGCTATACTCTCTGAGAGATGTTTCCCGTAAATTAAGGGCATAGATCTATCAGCTGACTTGTATCCAGTGTTATATAAAGAAAATATCTGGCTACAGCTGTTAATACTAGAACGATGAATGAGAGTATACATCTGTATGGTAATAAAGTTGATCGCCTTCCCTACCTACAAAAATTACGGATATTAAAAAATGATAGCTTTAATAAACTGAAATGGTGGGAATACTTAACGGCGCAATCTCGCTGGGACAACACTACACCGGCGGCAATGAAGAGATAGACTATAGCTTTGCTCTGAATTATTACAAAACGTTAGAAACAGGCACAGTGTATACAAGGTTCATGAAGCGTCAGACCCAAAGAACACCTACATAACGGAACCCTCCGGTCATTATATTATTAAAGAAAATAGCGAGCCACCATAAATGTTAAGGATGCTCTTCTGGTTCAATTCGCGATTTTGCCATTACAAACTTCACAGTGTGTGTAATAAGGAGATTATTATAAAGTTAATTTTGAAACTAATTTAACGAAAAAAGGATCCACATCGGTGGCGACCATTAAGTAGTTTTTGAATGTTTTTTACATAGATTGACAGAATACTACTATTAAAGGTAAATTTTTAAAACTAAATTAGTTAAAGAAAAAGGAATTTGATTAGTGGTGACAATGTTTTTGATTGGCTCTTCGATCCTATTTTTTAGTAAACATACCACGTATC